GACCTTTATGTATAGAAGAACTCTTTGCCTTCCTGTTTATCATTTGATTAGCTGATTAACAGGATAACCTCCTACCTTTCTAACAATACAATAGTTCTAAGGCAAACTGAAAAATATTTTAAAAATCTATCATTTATTGTGTTTTTACCTTTTAAAGCTGTACAGCCATTACCTGCTTCAGTATTCAACAGCCTTACTTGACAGGTGATGTAGTTAAAGCTTAAGGGAAGTAATTTGACCAAATTCACACTATGCAGCAAGGCTGACATTAAAACTCACATTTGTCAGACCTCAGAGTTCAACCCCTTTAAGTAGCTACAGTAATGTTCTGCTGGCAGGCTTAAAATACAACTACAGAAGTGATTTAAACTACATATTTGTAGTTTAGTACAAATCGTTATTATTTTGTTTCCTCTCTATTCACTATAAGAAATAACACACAAACTCTCAAAATCTCTCACATCTATTGCTTCTTTTCTTTTTCCACTTGCTACCATACCCAAAGTAGGCAGTTTCAAGTCCTAAATTATTATTACTACTGCCACCCAGTAACTGTGTTGTGACTCTGCTTTGTGTCACTCATCTTCTGCATCATCTTCCTACTAGGCTTCATGCATCACTGTTACCCCGTAACAGTGTCAGACAACGGGAATATAAAATCTTGGCGTAGTTCCCACTATGGGAATACACTATGATGTGCTATAGTAGAGGTGCATACATAGTACAACTGTGGCATCAAGAAGTGAGTAGCTAGTGATCCCCTGGATACACGGATCTGTAGAGAGCAAAAAAAGGTCTCATTGGTGACCCTCAATATGAAGGAAGTCATGGAGCCATGGTAATTTCCAGGGAGAATACTCTGTCAGACATAGAAATGAGCCTAAAACCTGGAGTTAAGATGTAAGGGGCAAATACAGGAAGAGGAGCCACTGAAGTACATGAAAAGAAACTGCTGCTCAGGGTATGAATGCAAAGGGAAGAGAGGAGCCAGAAGCCAGGGGAGTTGTGAAATCCAGGGAAGAGAGGATACTCAATTGCTTCAAATGCTCCCGCGGAAGGCTGAGGGGTTACCACTGGACTACTGGATTTTTCAGACAGGAAAGGAGTTGCAGAGAAATGATAGAGCAGCAGACAAGAAATAAATCAAGGAATATATACTATGTGAAGAGGAGAATAAAACTTGGCTCATGAGAGAGGACATAAGAGGAAAAGAGAGAAAAAAGGGGGCATCTACGGGTATTTGCAGTTGTGAGGCTGAAAAATCTCCTGTCAATGGTCCGTTTTCTCTGCCAAGAGGAACATGAGGATGTGTACTAAAAGACAGGTGTAAAGGGAGGGCAGGGTTTAGGGAGAATTGTAAAATTTTTGAATAGCTCCTTAGACTATGGGAAAAGAACCAGGAAGACAAAAAAAGGCTGTTGAACAGCGTTGGAGGTTCAATTAAAGGTAGTGAAGTGGTTCTGGCTTGTATGCTTTTTAAGCATCTCTGTGGCATAGATGAAATACTCCAAGGTATTATCAATACTGCCTTGTTTACTCATTAACTTGAACACAATTAGTAACTTAATATTCAGAATACCTTGTTATTGGGAAAAAATTACTTGACTGTCAGACAAGATTCTGGTTCTGGAAACGGGGAACAGTTGTCGGTGAACAATATGCCTCTTGGGAAGGGTTATGATACAGCAGAATGAGCATGTATAAAGATTAACAGTCAGTAAATACTACTGCCTTCTCTATCCGCCACTCGCACTCCTCCAGTGAGATGGGCCATCGTTTGCCAGCTCTAAGAAACTGGCACACAGTGAGTACTTGGACAAAACCAAGTTTTTGGACTCTCAAGGAGAAAACCAGATCCTGAGCTCTGGTGAACCACCAAGGAATAGTGAACCTGCATCATCAAGGCAGCCTCCTTTAAATCTCTATTTCTATTCTTACTTCAGTGATTTTTCAGCTTCAAGCCATTCTCCAATCTATTATTGTTTACACTCTTTATTATAAGCAGAAAACTCACTTCAGTATTTTCTCATAAGTGATCTCAAACTGAGGTCAGCATTTCACTGTATGTCTCGTCTTCCCTGTTAAACTGTAAATACACAGTAGAGTGTAAGGGTGTGAAAGAGGGAGTTTCTCCTCTGAATCTGGGACAGTGCTACTTGCTGGATGATCAAGGTCATAATCATGCTGTTATAATCCCCTTATTCCATGGTGCAATTATCAAAAGAAATGGAAAGTGTCCATGGAAAAAATTTTGATGATGAGAGACTTTTAAAATTAGATTTAAATACCAAGGAACAGAAATAAAGAACAAGGGATGACCTAGAAAAATATAAAGACCAAAAAGATGTTTCGGTCTTTGAGGACTTCAGGCTCTGCCTTATCCATCTTTAGCCCAGTGCCTGGTGTGAGAGAGTACATGGGAGAAGGAAAGAGAATAATATATTCTAAATATGTGCTCTGTGCCAGGCCTGTCTCTCATCATCAATACCTCTTACTGTATGTTCTTCCATTCACTCCTGCCAACTAGCCACTAGATAGGAAATAATACTGCCTTTTGTACATGAACCTCAAGTTGAGAAATCAAATAATTTTCTTGTGTTCCTAGATACCCCGTGTGGAGGTGGTATTTGAACCCAGGCTTTTAAATCCCAAAGTTCATAAGGTCTACTGTAGTAGTTTCCCTATTCCAAGTATTTATTGAGCTGAAAACTTAGAAATGGATCTCAATTTACAGAATCAACCATTCTCAGCAATGGTGGTGATATTCCAGGAGACAGTGCATATAATATAAAATCTGGTTCATACTTTAAATGGAGGCTGAAGATGCAGATGTAGGCAAATCCTAAAATTATCACCTGAATTTGTTCCTGTTTGTGTTTTGCCTTTACAACTAAACAAAAAAATATGTCTAGCAGATAAGAGCTGTCTTGCTTTCTGAGATACAAACAATATGGAGTTGGTTTGGGTTTTTCCCCCTGAATGCATGGGGATTGACGAAAATTCAGTATAGATGGAAAAGGGGAGAGACTAAAAAGATAGGGAGCTATTAATATTTCTCATCAGACAAGTTCTAAAGAGAAAATGCACCCCATGGCAAACAAGTACTAATAAATACATCTCATTGAAAAGTATGGTCATTTCTATTTTTATTTTTTAAATTTATTTTGAGAGAGAGAAAGTGAGAGAGTGGCAGAGAGAGAGACAGAGAGAGAGAGAGACAGAGAGAGAGAGACAGAGAGAGACAGAGAGAGAGAATCCCAAGCAGGCTCCACACCACCAGCGTGGAGCCCGATGTGGGACTCAAACTCACGAACCATGAGATCATGACCTGAGCTGAAGTCAGAGCCTTAAACTGACTGAGCCACCCAGGCACTCTAGGTTATTTCTGTTTTAAAAAGTGATAGAAATGAATATAAAGATTAAAACACCCCTTCTTGTTGGGCTTCAGATTACTTTGATATTAGTTCTTCCATTGGGATGCCTGTCCTACTAAAGTATGTGCAAGACTCTACGGCAGCACCACAGAAGGGGTAACTGATTCTTTCTGGAGTGACAGAGGAAGCTATAGGCAGTATTTCACTGTAAAGAAAATATGAGATGAATTCTAAAGGGTAATAAATATTATCCAGAAGATCACAGGCAAAAATGAAAATATCATTCTACTGGCTTTAAGTTGAAGCATCTAATTTATTTTCCACCCTCCTTCCCCTTCCTTCACTCCTTTGTTCCCTCGTTTCTCTCTCTTTCTATACGCCAATCTGTCATCTATCATTTGCTTAAGGTGTAAGATTCCCAACACAGTCAGGCAGAGAACACAGTGTGGTGTAGTGGTTAAATGGCATGGCTTGAGATGAAGACTGCTGGGTATGTCTTCCAGCTTTGACACCTATAATTACTATCTTCTCTTTCACTCATTTGGAAAACATGAGGAATTAATATGCTAATATGCATAAATCATTTAGAATTATACCTAGCATATAACAAGGTTAGCTATCATTTTAATTTGTTTATTTACTTTGAAATATTCTGTCCCATAGTCAGAATAAGTCTTGAATAACTTCAGAATCAATGATAAAACTATACTAATTTAAGAATTTGATACAGAATGGTTCTATTTTGGTAGTTACTTCAATTTATATATAGGATTTTCCACCCCTTTGAAATTAGGTAAATAATCTCTTGATTTCATATATTAATTATTGCATAGCAAAAGTAACAGATTGAAAACAGATTCATGACTTAATTATAACCAAATCTACCATCACATTTGCTAGACCTGTGCAAACAAAGCCATTTAATATACAGCCATACAATATAAAGTAAATATGTAAAATGCACAGTCCGTCCTAGAATCTGCCTTCCAAATTTTATTTTGAATGCCAGAATCTCAGAGGAGTGTCTGTCTTATAAGAAATTAATGCACATTAAAATAAAATTCTCACCTCTGTCATATTCACTGTATTTCACGGAGTGAATTTTAGTGTTTTCAAGTTAATCTCGTGTAAATTATTTCTTGTAGTATGCCGGGTTAGTCCAGCATCCATTCATCCATTCACCCATCTATCCAAACATCCATGCATGCAAGTGAGCATGCAACAAATACTTAAGCATCTTCTCAGTGCAATGTAAATTTGTGAGGTAATAGAAAAAAATATTAAACAAGATAGACAGCATTGCTAGTGGTGCTCAAAGGATGTCAGAGAAGACTGACGATGAGAGGAACAACTAGAATAAAGATGACTTGATATCTACAAAACAAAATTTCCCCAAGTGACTCTTTTTGTCTAGCTCATAATAACCGTTTCCTTTTTAATGACAAATCTCTTGTAAATAATACTGCACCAAGCCCAAGATTCTCTGAGCGATCTCTGTGGAACAGTCTCAGGGCCACACCTAGGTAGGCAGTGCTACCATCAGAGATGTTTCATTTGCAAGAGGCACCGTATGAAGCCAAGCAGTAACACTGTCACGGGAAAAGGAGTGGGAGAAAGCGAGCTCACAGGAGCGTGCCGCCGCAGGTTTGCTGGTGTGCCGGGCGGGGACGAGCTGGTGCTGAGGGCGTTCTCAATGTCCCGATCAAGTTGGTCCAGTTTCATAATCAGCAGCACCATGGAGTCTAGCCGCGCCCTATCTCGATCTTCTCTTATTTCCTGAGGAACAGAACATGTTGTTACTAAATCTGAAAGGCCATTTCTTGGAAAGAATAAAAAGTTCCCTGTTCTTCAGTGTGACACAAAGGACACTGAATAATAGGCAGCCTTCTACTCAAGGGGAAAAGGAAGTTCTATTCTGTATCATCAATAGGCTCTTCATTGGGAAGATACTGACCTACTACCAAAGAAGCGTTTTACTTGAATTTTAAATACACATCTTCTAGCAAAAAATGCAATGAAAAAGAAGTATAACATCAGTGAGTACTGATACATATTTACTACTTTTCCATGAATTATTCTTGGGAAAAGTTAGATATTACTTTTTTTCATGCCACAAATCAATTATGACATACCAATAACTGTTTGCGGTTAGACAATTAAAGATCTATACAAGAGAATATTTTTGGAAGAGTATTTCTGGGGATACCAAAAAAAGGGGGGAAATAATCAAAGAAGGCAGTATTTTAGTTTGTGCAGTGGGCAAGTTTCTTTTTGTTTTTGCTTTATTTTGTTCTTGCGTGGGGCCATTTACCTACTGCTGCTTCAAGCTAGATCATTGTCAGTATTTCTTTTTAAGCTTCTTTTTTCCCACATATTTTGGAAAAAAGCCCCCTCCCCCATTGTATATATTTTTGTAAATGATCATGGTTACTTATCCTGAATTCTCTATAATATTGAGATATATTTATGAAAATACATTGCTTAGAGGAATAATTATAGCTTCTCATGGACCATAGAGAGTTATTTCCACATGATTGCTTACTATTCTTGCATATTCAAATCATGTCAATTAGTGTTAGGAATCTTTCAGATTCCCTGTGTGCTGTGCAAGGTATCAAGATTGGACAGGCAATTAGGTTGGGGGAAAAAAGGCCATGGAAAGCACAGTAAAGATATTTAGAAGCAAAATCTATTAAGAGATGTAATAGACTCAAGACTATCTATCCCTTGGGAGGAAAATCATCATTTATAACTCATGTTGCTATCTTCTCATCAGCTTTGAAAGGTACACCAGTCGGGACCTCACAGGGAAAATATATCATGACAGAGCTCGAGGTATGTGGATATAAGGGAGCAGGTGATGGTATTGGAAGTGGGATGGTAAGATGACTACCTATATCAGACCTTTTATTTTGTTTTGGCATTTTTTAATCCCCTAAATTCTCTAGCCACCGTTATGAGGGAACCCCAAAGAACCCCAAAGAACATTAACTAGGGTAGTTTCATGGATTAATCTAATTCTATAGGGGTCTCTGTACCTCCAATAGCTAAAGCAGATTGTTAATATTACACAGCATTATTTCCCAGATGTCAAATAGTTGGTTTATTAAATTAAATCATTCAAAGAATCATTAATTAAGCTACTATTCACAAATTATTTGGGTAAGCTGAACTTGTGTTTGGTTTAACAGACTAGCATCACATTGAAAGAGCCAGTCCTATTTCCATAAAGACATCCATTTTGAAAATGTTAAGAATTTTTTTGAGTTGTATTAATTACTTCAGAATACTGTGCTGTAATTATTACCTAAATTCCCTTTCATTGTCCCTGCTAAAACATGTAATGAGGCTCTGACAATTACAGGCTCTTGTCATCAAGTTTTATGTTTCATGCCTGAGAGTATCCAGGATATTTGTAAACAGACCTGAACCTTACTATAGATCATATCCCTCAGCGTCACAGAACTTTGATATAGTCAAAAGAGCATTGTAATAGAATACTGCTTTTACCTTAAAATGGAGTCCTGGAAATATTGGAGATTATTCTAAGTTTAATTCTCTTCTAAATACCCCAAACTTGGAAAATCTGACTAAAAGAAGACTCAAAGTCCTCTTAATTACTTCTCTAATGTAACTGCTTGTATATTTTCCTTCTTTTTAAAGCCAAAGTTGTGTTTGGCAAGATAATGTTCTTTGCATCTCTATGTCCACTCTATATCCACATATGTTTTTTGTGTGTGATTTTCATTTCCCAGTTACAACATCCTCAAGGACAAAAAGTATGTTTTTCTACCTGGCAGATGAGTCAAGTTATACATTGCACATGCAGTATGTTTTCAGGAATAATAATAAGGAAATCAATAGGAGCCAGTGAAATAACAGCTCCCAAAGCCTTAGAAAGTATATCTTGATATCTTTCCAGCTACTAAGTTAATGTTGGATAAAGCAGTATGTCCTGAGTTGTCCTAGACCTACCAGCAGTGGTCTCAGAAACAATTTGTCTTTGAATTAACTGGATGCTTAGATTGTGCTTTAAAAACATTTTTAAATCCATGGGCTGAGCATCAAATTATTTCAAATGCTCTGCCAAAAGGAATAAAACCAAACAGCCTTGGTCTACAATATTCTTTTAGAGAAATAAGCCTATTGCTTTCCCCTTCCTTCCCGGATGCTTCCTTATTCACTATCCATTACATTCAGCTTGAAGTGTCAAGTACACAGACCAGCATCCTGTGTTATACATTCATAAAACCTCACAAAATAGAGTGGACTACAAATCAGATGCTTTGGATAAATTTTATTGTCTTTGTTTTTAAAGCTCAGATATTAATATTTAACAGTTCTAACCTTTCATATGTCTGTGGCTAAACTCCAGCAAATAGCTCATGCCTGAAAACAGATCTGTACTTGCAGGCTTTGGCTAGGTTGACTTCTACAGTGAAGCTTTTATTTCATGCTGTCCCTATAGTCCATGAAAAGGACCCTCTTAATAAGTGAAGCTGCCCGTTAATGGAGTCCTCAATATTTCTGTAACTTAACCCCCTATATCAAGGCCAAGATGATAAATTCTCTCCCCTCCTGTCCTTCTTTCCTTCTTTCCTGCAGTCATAAGTGTCCTGGGCCAAGCACCATTAAATGGTCACCAAATAGTCACCAGTGAGTAAGAGATTAAAAATTCCCTGCTTTCCCGAATATTATAGTCAACCATGAGCAGACAACAAAACTTAACAAATTCATAAGTAGGATGGTTTCATACAGAAACAAGTGTAAGAAGCAAATAAACTGGGTAAGAATCTACACAGTCACTGAAGGGGGTGTCCCACTTTGTACAGGGTGGCTGGAAAAGTTTTCTGTGGACGTGAGAGTTAAATCATGATGGGGAGGAAAAGAATAGGGTAGAAGAGATATATGGAGACGGAGATGGAGAGAGACAGCAAGTGACAGAGAAAGGAAAGGAGGGATGGAGAGAGAGGGGGAGGGAGAGAGGGAAAGGAAAAGGGAAAAGGAAAGGGAAAGAGGAAGGGAAGGGAAGGGAAGGGAAGGGAAGGGAAGGGACGGGAAGAAAGGGGAAGAGGAGGAAGGAAGGAGGGGAACTGGGAAAACAGTACTGCACACATCCTGGATATCAAGATGCTAGACTGGAATGAATTACATGAATAAGAGGATCAGATAAAAGGTGGGGAACACCAGGAAGGGAAGTGACAGGGACTGGAATGATTACTAGAACAATGTTAAGGTGAATACGAATAGGAGCCAATTTATATTTTGTCATGAAGGTCACTGTAAAGGTCAAATTTATTCCTTGCAGTGGGGCCACGGGCAGTATGTAAACACATGTGTGATTCCCTTTGTATTTTAAACTTTCAGGTTCTTACTGCATACTGACAATCAAATATTTTTGGAACCTCAGGCTACCTTAACAACCAGCAATGTCATATGACTAATACATGCTAAGTAGTTCAAATTAACCTAGGATTATTTTCTAGTCCTAGCCATAGTTCTTCTCTTTTTTTTCCCCTGAAGTCTGAATTGGATCCACATTATGGTAATTAGAAGGAAATAACAAATTTAAGAGTAATTTATTTTGATGAGCACTGAATAATGTATGGAATTGCTGAATCCTTATATGGTACACTTGAAACTAATATAACAGTATGTGTTAACTATAGTGGAACTAAAAAAAATAACATGCTTTTATAACATGGCCATACATATTTTGAGAGCAAAATGAAAAAGAAGGCACTGTGTGGGGAAGCTGTTTCTTCGAAGTGGGGAGTGGTATGTTAGTAAATGTTTAGAAACTAGATACCAAATAAAACAAAAGTCCTCATTTGTAGCATGTGTCACTTTTTTCTGTGACATAAATACTGTCATGGCTGGTTTGAAGCTATCAACTAGACATTACTGAATTCAGAAGGAAAAGGTGCCCCAAGTGTGCCCTTGTGAGCTTACGTGAGCTGGTGCATGTTTCTGCCAACACACAGTAGGAGCGGGGCCAGCAGGATAGAGAGACATCCTGAGAATATGACTCTAACAGAAACACTGATAGTCAAATCGATAGCTGTAATTATGGTTTGTTCAACATAATTACAAATTGAAATAATGCATTTTATTTATTTAATGCATTTATTTTCCCTAACTTTTGCTTTTATTACCCAGCTAGAGTTCAGTATAAATTGTAGACTAAAATTTAGGGTTCTTCTGGAGACTTCTATTTTTCCTAGAAGCAGCTCTCTTATGTGACTTCCTTGCACTATTCATTATTTATGTTTGTAAAAACCCTTAACATTCATTATAATTAACATATATTTATATTTATATTTTCACTTAAGTAAGTCAAAATATGAGTGACTCAGTCAGTTGAGTGTCTAACTTCGGTTCAGGTCATGATCTCATGGTTTGTGCTGACAGCTCAGAGCCAGAAGTCTGCTTCAGATTCTGTGTCTCCCTCTCTGTCCCTTCCCTGCTCATGCTGTTTCTCTCTCTCTCATGAATAAATATCTTAAAAATTAATTAAAAATAAGTCAAAATGTATTTGAGTAACTCATTACATTCTTAGGTACTTTCTTCAAAATTAAGACTTTAGAAATCTAGAGCTCTAGGTTCATGGCTATTGGTTCCACAGTGTCCTGACTTTGCAGGAGAAGAGTTTTAAATCCTGATCACTTTCCACTGACGAACTGAATAGATTAGAGCTCATCTCTCCCCACTCTTTGTCTTGGTCTCTTTCCAATATTCCACTTTCCTTTCCTTTCATGGATGTAATTTCTAATTTA